TAGGTTCTTTTTTTTTTTTTTTGGACTGATCCTCATTGTATTCTGGAAGATCTGAAGGATCAGTAGGGACAGATCATCATGGAGGACATTTATGTCTTCCCCAAAAGTTGATGCTGACTTGATGGCATATAATCGCTGTATTAATGTTTGCTTGAATAAGGCTTTGTATTCACTGTTGCAGTTGTCCTAAAAGGTGCGAATGGTAAAACGGGATCTGCCCACTTTGTATATGAATTGTGGTTTCTTACACACACATTCTTACACACACATACAAAAAGGGTGACACTTATTTCAAGATAATCATTTTGCCGCTCTCTGAAAGTGTTGGGATTCTACAGACACCTACTCAGCGTTGTTATCCCTTCGGTTGGGGAGACAGCCTTCAAATCTTTTTAAAGTGTCCAAGCTAATATGAAAAGTTCAACAAAATAAATGAATGTGAGTAGCAGCAGTTTAAAAAGGGAGCAAGGACTCCCATTTATTCCTTTAGTTTAATTCCTTTATTTGGGGCAACCGAATGGAACTGAGCATTTACTAGCCAGATGCCTTTCCTGATGCGGAGTTCACAGCAGTTTATTTTGTGTTTGCGCCCTGAGAAATATCTACCGCTGCCCAGGACTGAACTCTCAACCTTCCAAGTAGGAGGTGAGCATCTTCGCCTCTAGGCCACCATACTACTCTCGATGCTAATAAGGAAATATCTATTACAGTGGATTAGTGCAGTGGTCCCCAACCTTTTTTGTACCAGGGACCGGTTTCAAGCAGAAACATTATTTTTTCAAGGACCGGGGGGGGGGGGGGGGGGAGAGGAGAGAGAATCCGAGTTTGGTAGTTTGCTTGAAGACGTTTCATTACCTGACTAGGTAACATCTGATGTTGTTACCTAGTCGGGTAATAAAACGTCTGCCAGCAAACCACCAAGTTCAGGGAGAGCCTCGGCCCTGCCTCCCTCAGCCCCATCCCTCAGGTGTCTCCCTCCCTCCCTCCCTCAGGTGTCTGCCTCGTTCCTCTCTCAGTCACTCTATCGCTCCTCCAGCAGCCCAAGAAGCCGGGGGGTGGGGTGGCTTTTCCTGTCGCCACAGCTTCCCCGAAGCGCCCGTTTCACCCCCACCCCGCCCGCCCGCTCGCGGTTCAATCCACAGTGCTCCGTTCTACCTGCCTGCCTGCCTGCCTTCTTCGTTTCGGAGCAGCTTCGGCTGATAAAAAGAGGCGAATAGTTATTATTCTCAGCCAAAGCTGCTCCCAAACAACCAGACAGGCAGGCAGGCAGAACGGAGCACTGTGGATTGAACCGCGAGCGAGCGGGCGGGCGGGGTGGGGGTGAAACGGGCGCTTCGGGGAAGCTGCGGCGACAGGAAAAGCCACCCCCCCCAGCTTCTTTGAAGCAGTTTCTTCCTGTGCTGGTGGAGGAGCGAGAGAGCGACTGAGAGAGCTGAGCCAGAGAGCAGGACAGGCTTCGGTTGCTTCCTCCCTCCCCTTCTTTCATTTGTGTCCTTGATCCCCGATCCCAGCAGCATTCACCGAAGGCGAAGAAAGCCGCCATTTTTTTTAATTTGCGGCCCGGTAAAGAGTGCTCCACGGCCCGGTACCGGTCCACGGCCCGGTGGTTGGGGACCCCTGGATTAGTGGACAAGTAGCCTTGGTTTTTCTAGACATGCTTCCCACAAGTTTCAGTGCTTTTAAAAGCAATTGCAGTCTGAGACGATACATCCTAAGGGCTTCGGTGCACTTTTCCTCCAGGGTGCTTTCTTCCATAGAGCAGAGGGCCTCCTACAATAACTGCCATTCCTACTTACCCTGCGAAAGAGAAGTAACATCTACACCTGCTGAAAGAGGAGAAGGCTGCTTCCATAGCAGGTAGCGTTCAGAACTCCACTACTTTCCTCACTTCCAACAATGGCTGGGACCAACTGGATCAGGGGTGTCAAACTCAAGGCCCATGGGCTGAATCCAGCACGTAGGGTGCTTAGATTTGACGTGCTAGGACGCCCTGGAAACTGGCACCCATGGTGCCCCTGCCAGTGAATACAGCACGGGAGAGCCATACGTGCCCCCCTCCAGCTCTGTTTTCACTGCAGGAGGCCATCCTGGCTGAAAATGGCCGTGGGGAGCACATGGCTTCCCCAATCAGTTTTTGCTGGCAGAGGGTTAGAAAAAATGACAAAAGGAGAAATATTTCCCCCTTTTGCATTTGAGCGTGCAAGAAGGGACAGGAAAGAAGAGGAAAGACAAAAAGATGGGAAGAGAACAAGGAAGGAAAGCTAAGGAAAAGGGAAGGAAAAAGAAGAGAAGGGAAATTATGTGAGGGAGGGTCTGAGGGAAGCCCTGCCTTAGCACTTGGCCACCACAGTGACATTGAGCTAGCCGTGCCCACCCACCCCCAACCCATGAGGTCAAACAACCCTGATGCTACCCTCAAGTGAAGTTGAGTTTGACATTCCTGAATTAGATGAAATGGATGATGTCACCTAGAAAACCAATTTCAGAGAGCCCACAGTTCAAATGTGAGCTACAAGTGTTCTGTCAAGTGTTAGCAGCATGACTACTATTGTGAGACTACCCAGGAGCAAAACAGGACACAGGCTTTGTCTTTTAACAGTGGTTTATATACAAGACTGCTATATACATACATATACATGTTAGGCACATACCAGGCAAGCATTACTCTGCACTGAGAACTACAATGGAGATAGAACATAAGAAAGAGAGATACATCCTCTCATGGCTGCCCTTATATAGACGGCTTCTTAAAGTGGCAATAACCCTTCTGACTCAACCTCAGTCTTAAAGTGGCAATGCCCTGCTGACTCATTCTCATTGCATCAGCATTTACAACAGTCGGTCAATTATTAAATCTGTGTTACCTTCTATTAGATGAAATCTAGTTAACCTTGGGTAATCACAAAATTAGGGTTGGTACTGCTTAAGTACCAGAATGATACAAAGTGGTAAGCTACAATACAAGTTGAAAAAAACCATTGCAGAAGGCAGCAGTAGCAAATCTTGTGTATTAAACAAGAAAATTGTGACAAGACTATAAGGGAATCAGGCTTGACTTGATGGAGTCTACTGGTGGCTGGAGAGGATGCATAGATAATTTGATACGGGATTTCCTTTCTTTCCCCATCATTTTCTATAGCTGGAGTCGGATCCTGGCCTAATTGAACCAAGCAACCCTCACTGACCTGGAGTCAGGCTTGTAGAGTCCCTTCAAATGCCCAAGAACCCTCCCATGCAGGCAGTTTCTCTAAGGAAAACGCCAGAACCAGAACGTTGGCTACTTGCTATGGTGCCATCTGATGCCCACCCCAGTGCAGGGCACTCCAGAGTAGTGTTCAAGTTTACCAGTCCCAGATGAGTATGGGCGAGGGTAATGAAATTAGTAGCAGCTCACTTCCATTATGAGGGAGAGCCAGGTCCTGATTCTTCAAGAGGGCCATATTATCATGAAATTAAGGAATTCCAAGGGGTGTTTTGTAGATTTGAACAAAACATTCACTAGCACATCTTCCCAAAAGGCTACTTCAAAGGCTCCCTGGGGTTGTCTTGAAAACATGGGAAAACACTTGCACTGAAATTGCCAGCGACCCAAAAAAGTATGCAAAAAGCCTTTGGGGCAATCGCTGAAAGAACATTGGAATAACTACAATGCGGTGACAAAGGACCTATCAGTTTGGCTTCTGTTCTATTTTTCACCTATGGAGTTCTCTGCACTTATGTGAAACTGGGGAAGTGAGTCCTCTTTCCACATAGGAGCAGGTGGGAGAATTTTCCATTATAGAAAACCTTCATGAAAAGCGCATGTTCCAATCCTTTTTTTTTTCTTTTTAAAAAAAGCTCATAATGGTGATATGAATAACTCGATTAGATTTAGAATGTGAGTTTTGAACTTAATACACTGTCCAACATATCAAAACGTGTGATGGCTTTCCTTAAAGAGATTTACTGTGAGGCAACCTCACACTGATTGTAACACAGTAAACAACTGTGTGCATTTTGAGATTCGTACATTCAATGAGTGGATGGGGTTTACACATAGACTAGAAATGAGGAGGAATTTCCTGACAGGACAATCAAATCATTGGAGCAGCTTGCCTCCCAGAGAAGTTTTCAAGAAAACGTTGGACAACCATTTGTCCAGGATGGAGTAAGGACTCCTACCTTGGGCAGGAGGCTGGATGGAAGGCCTCTAGTCCTATGATTCTTACAGATATTTTGCTCACTGCAATTGAAAATTATTTGCCCTTGTCTGAGATCTGCCCAGCAAGCGAATGATCAATCATGTTGCAGAGACTCAGCCCTACATACAGTAGTAGGATTCTATTTTAGACATTAGTCTTGGTTTTAACTGAAACTATTGGATCGTGTAGTCCTTCCAGAAGAATATTCTAAGAATTCTTCATATCATTACAAAGCAACAACCCTGAACTGCTTTATGAAATAACTTCAAGGAATCTTCTCCTTTTCAATATTCAAATAAACCACAACAGCAAAGCTTTTAACATGTAATCATTTATTACTTTATTTCTCAACCTTTTCCCAAAAAACTAGATTTCCTTTAATATGTTTAGCAAAAAATAGTTCAGAAGCAGCTCTGTCAAGCCAAAAGAATTTTAAAAAACCACATATGGCTGGAATAGCTAAAGCCTTCAGGGGTTTAGTGAAGGCTAGAACTAATGAATGACTAAAATAAGTTATTTAAAAGCAGATGGTGGGAAGACAGAGGAAGAGAGGATGAGTAAGACAGCAATAATGGGATCTTAGCATCCGATGGGATAGCACACACATCTACAACCATGACTGACATTCAACAGCTCAACAGCACTTGGTACTGTCATTGCTCCAAATGGCCAGCATATGACATTTTAGAATAGATAAATGGCAGAAGAGATAGAAAAGAGCATCAAAGATTAAGAGACATTTCAAATGGAACATCACATGAAACCAGTGTAAAGAAGTACATGAGACAGAACTTGCAATTCTTTTTTTTTAAATGGTTATTAGTAAATTGCAAAAACAGGAAATCAGAATAAAGGCATTGGAGCAATTAAAGAAGGAATAATAGCGTTAGGAATCTGTCAAAATATTTCCATATTGTTGCTTTAAAATGCAAAGCTATTGTGACGGCTACAGGAATCCAGGCTCTGCTGACAGCAACACAGATTAACATTGGGGCTGTTCATTTTCCAGATGTTACTGGAGCACAACTCCTGTATCCTTCAACATAGGCTGTGATTGTTGGGGCTCTTAGAAACTGTCATTCGGTAACATATGGAGAACCATATGTTCCTCATCCCAGCTTAAAGCATGGACTTTGATCAAACCCCAAGAACATATTGGAACAGTCATCTTGTCTGATCGGAGGAATTCAAAACAGAGAAAAACTACCACATATAGGTCTATATTTTGTTTAAGTTGTCAAAGCCTGACTAGAAAGTATCTTCAGAAAAGTCAAGAAGTAGTTTTGGATTGTTAAACCCAAGTCAAAAGCTATGGCAGGTCCCACCAACCTTATAATTACATGCTCATAAAGGTCTAATTTATCTTCTGAAGGTCAGCGTCTCAGCCATCTAAAGATGAGAATAGTATAATCAGCTGACGTGTGATTCTATCACAAAGGAATAAGGAAAGAGAAAGCACGTTTTTTTTTGCTAAAATGGATCTGGACCACGAGCAAAATAAAATCAGATCCACGACCTGGTCAAGCACCAGAGTAGAACTGTGCAAAACTGAACTCATCAAAGGGAAGAATCTCTGTCAAAAGGAATCCGAAATATGAGCTCGATAAGGAATCCATCAGAGTCCAAGGATGAAGAGAAACTCTTATCAGGCATAATTAGGTGTGGGGATGGGAGGACTGGGATGAAGCAGAGGCCTCAAGGGATAAATTCAGCTATGTGCAACAGCTGCAATCGCATCAATTGCAGATTTTTATGCGGGTCCCCTTAGAAAGAATGCGGAAAAAGGGGAAGATGCGCTCGCGAAATGAAGCATTGAAGGTGTGAATATGAGCCATGTTTTCAGCATTGTAGAATCCTAGCTGGCCTCGTTCATAGTCCAGGTAGACACAAAAGCGCCGTAATTTCTCAGCCGGGGAAAGGCATGTCTGCTCAGTGGTAGTCAAGGCCTGGTACTTCTTACCATTGGTTCCTACACACCAGATCTCCCGTTTCTGGTGGGAACCACTGCTGGATTTCTCTTTTCGTCGGGCCGATTCACGGGCTGCCCCTACAGCCCACCCTCGCCGGCCACCCACCTCCACTTCCCAGTAGTGGCGACCATACATAAAGCCCTGCACGGCCAACACACAGTAGTCGGAATCGAAGCGCTTTGGGTTATCTGGCAGATCCCGCCAACGTTCCCCAAGTCGGACGCTGCGAGAGTCTGAGGAAAGGGTGAGCCGTGGATGAGCTGTTTCAGGGTCCAGAGTCAAATCCGCTGTAAGAGAAAAAAAAAAAGAGCAAAATGGTTTAAGTAGGGAATAAGTCGTCTAGTTTGAAGATAAGTGGATTTCAACTCCCCAAATTCCCCAGCCAGCATTTGCCAAATTTGAGAAACATTCATCTATTTGAACTCCTGCAAATCATCAGGGTAGAAGTCTAAAAACAAAAGGCTTTCACAGCATGAATTATATGAATCGCTATTTCTGCACAGTTTCAATCCTCTTCTAATGACATTTTTACAATAAATAAATTCTTAGCTTCCATTGCACAGTGGATGTATACGTGTCAAGTCTCTTAGATCCCTACTGGGACACTGCCATTCTGGCGGGGGGTGGGGGGGAGGAAACCTGGATACTCCTTTACAAACCTGGTTTTCCTATCACTTGGATGTACTTGCTTGGGAAAGGGAGGGGGAGGGATTGGCCCCAGGGCCATTAGTTTTAATCTCAGCTCCGAAAGAATGGGCAGAGCGGTGGCTGAGAACAGCTTCTTATCACCTTTGGATTGGCTCGCCTCAGATTGGACAGAGGGGAGGGGTTTTCTGCAACTTGTCACCTAACAGCTCTAAGCAGGAACTTCAGATCCTGCTTTGCTTTACTTGCTATCAACTTTTTCTCAATAAAACTTTCCTTCTGAAATAATGCCTATTTGAAGAGCTCTGCTTTCTTGAAGAGAGAGGAGAGGCAAATCCTTACAACATGGCTAGGAGCAAATGTATTTTTCTTTGCATTTCTAACTGCAGGAGAAGAGCAGTTCAGTTACCTCCTTACCTTGAGGTGCTTTGTTAAAGACCTTCTCCATCTTCCTCATTAAAACATCTATAAGGAAGTAGTTCCGGTATTTCTTTCCTGTGTCCACTGGCACCATCTCTGGATCCTGGAATGTGATATTCTCACACCTGACAAAGGGCCATCCAGAGAGCAGACATGTAAGACGAGATAAATGGCAACCAGCAAGAAAAGCATTGAGTAAGAAGAACAGAAAATACAACATACTGGGACCTGATAAGTCTGTTCCTAGGCTAATTCTGCTGCGACAGTAGTACTTCTCTTTTTGTGTAAGTTCTCCATATTATTTTCACAGAGAAATGGAGAAGCATGGAGATTAATTCATTAAAATGGGGAGTAGGAGAATAATAGAAAAGAAACATGGGGAAGATTTATTGGCCCTCATGAAATCTATTTGCAGTATTACAGTCAAACCCTGTCCACAGCTTGGAGTTCAATCCTGACTGGGCTTAAAGCCTTCAGCCATCCAAGGTCGGTCAAATGAAGACCCAGATTGTTGGGAGAAATATGCTGACACTGTAAATCCCCCCACTCATTCAAGAGAGTGCTGTAAAGAATTATGGGGTGGTAGATAGGTCTAAGTACCTTTGTGATTGCTATCGCTACAAGATCAAGCCATTCTGGATACACAGATATGAAGATTTTTCACTGGACCTACTTATTCTGTTCCCAATAAGAATCAGAAAGGACTGAGGTCAGTTGATTAGTAGGCTATGGTCAGGTGTACCACATTAACAAACCAACCACTTTGCCACAAATATCACCCTTGACCACAATAAGAGAGTGGTACTGAAATACTGCAATTCCCCTGGATCCTAGATTAGCTAGGCATTCTCTGGCTGGTCCATATGTATAGAAAAGATATTAACTGAACAGGTTTCCAGTAAATATTCTAACAAAATCTTTGAAAAGCCAGAGTTTTAAATTAACTTTGCTAATGATGTTTTAATATAGTCTAATAGTTGCAGCAGTAAAATAATTATAGCTGCATGTTACTCCTTACACTATCTTTCGAGCAGAAGCTAACAAGATACCCTCACACCCACTTTTCCCCCATGGCCAAGCATAAATAAATGGATCCAAGTTTCCCAGGCAAACTGCTATACATGCATTAACCAACCTCATTGATATTTAACTTCAAACAAGTTGATCAATCCCAGGTTTTCATACCATTTTTTGAGGTGTGTGTCTTCCTGTTGATGGACAATTAGTAAAAAACCCTCAACTAATACTAAACTCAAACCAAGAGACAAGACAATATGATGAGATTTCCAAATATTCTGAAGTATTCAGTCAGAATTGGCTCAAAGGTATTTGTGAAAAGCCATTAAATTCTAAAGAGACTTTCAGATACAACCTGGCTAACAGTGAAGCACAAATTTCAGGAATGTAAACCAGAAATAACCAAAAGAAATTCAACCAACCTGACTAAAGTGCCTTTGAAATCCTAGGGGAAAAAAAGAAGAAAAAAGGTTACATACTTTGATGTTATAAAACACAACAAATAGATTGAAAGAAGACAATCAATTTTCTGTACAATTTCCTGTGGACTTTTTCTGGAAAGCATTTTCTTGCTTTTTGGGGGGGCGGGGGTGATTTCATGGGTTTCCAAATAGTGTGTCTGTTGTGATTTGTTGTTGTGTTTGTTGTCAAAAAAGCTTTCCTTGAAGAAATACTACTTGTCAGGCTTCCTGACTTGAATGTGACAGACACTACCCAGATCCTTCACACTGTATGGCTAAATATATTGCACATCAGAATGATCCACTTAAAACAGGTGATTCCCTCCTTAGTATGAAATTGCTGTCCCCTCATAGAACTTTGTCATTGAACCTGCAATAACAGCATACCCCTCCCATCCAGTGCCCTTTCTGAAGGCATTAAATTTTTTTATATTACCCGCAGTATTAACCTTGACCTTAACATTGCTTGATAGCATATTTTTGTTCCAGTGATCTGAAGTGGAATGGTTTTTGGTTTTTTCACTCCAGGTGTATTCTACAGTATAGGTTTTGTTTATTTAAAATATTTGTATAGCTGTTCATCCTAAATCAAATTCTGGGTGGCTTATAATCAAACATAAAACAACATGTACATAATGGAAACAAAAAAAGAATAAAACCAACCATCAAAAAAAGAAAAAGAAAAGAAAAACCTTGTTACTGCCATACTTTCCCGATGCAACCCACATGGTATCTTCCATTTTAACCTCACACTATCCCAACACTTGGGAAACAGCCACGTCTTAAGTGCTCTCCTTATGATATATATTAATTTTAAAAAGTGTGGATTTGAGGATTTTTTTAAAAAACTTTATATGCCGTCTTTGGTGGGAGGATAAGTATATAAATTATTTAAATAAATATCTCCTGTGGAATTTCTCTTTCCACCTTTCCTAAGCTTAACAGATACCTAACTTAGCGCTTCTCATAGTGCTCAGAGGCAGTATACTGTTGACACAATCAGCATTCCTGCCCTCCCCTAGGAAACTACACTGTGAGCATCATTTAAAAGCTTTATGAACTCCTTATAAGACTTGTAAGTATTAATCAGTAAATCATGATCCAGCCGGTCTTTCCTTCTTTCTCTCTATGGCTGCTCATCTCAAACTGGGCAGCTGACAATATGAAAAGAAAGAACAAGAGACAAAAAGAACAGAAAAACACACAGAAGCAGCGGACAGGATAAAAAGAAACTCAAATAATAAATCAGCATAATAAATGCATAGGCTCAGTTACACCTCTGGACCCCCATTTCTTTAAGGCCTTATGGAAGGCCGAGAGGATCCACAAAAATATCTTTGTGGCTCTCAACTCACTTCTGCTACCAGAACCACTCCAGCTTTGGAAAAGCTGCTTACCTGCTCTCTGAATTAGCATGGAAATGATTTTTTGTTATCTCCCACATTTAATAGCTCTCACCTCCTAACCAACCTGTTTTAATTCAAACACAGATCTAAAAAATGCCATTTCTACATGTGTGTAATACCATCCAAATCATACAAACTAATGTGTGTGACATCTAATTCAATGCAATGATCCGAACAGGTTTCCAAATTTTAGTTCTGTCCAGTTGAACAGAATATTTGTCCAATCCCTTTCCAAAGTGAATATCTGAATATCTACAAACCCCAAATATATTATTCATTTGGGACTCCAGTTTTCAAATATATAATGTATCACATGCACTAATTCAACACACTGCAACTTGAGAAACAATTGTAGGAAATTGTCCTAAACAGCTGAAAAAAAACCTCCTTAAAATCCACAGGCATTTTAGCATTCATATTATAGCCATTTCCTATTAAACAGTTGAGTGTTCAAATACAGTAAGAGCTGTGATCAGATGCCCAGACATACACCTGAAATAAAGATATGAAATACTGAGAGATCGGATTTTCTATAGAAGCTAATTCTAATCTAATTTTGATTCTAATAATCTAATTCTAATAATCTAATTATGTTATATTTTGAACCCTTTCATTAGGCTAGCAATAGTGGAAGTGGGACATCTTTGGAAAAGAAACTACTCTCACTGCTACCCTTAGCAAACTGTGAAAAGCAGCCTGAAATCAGACTGCCAAAATTCAGCTGTCCAATGTCAATAATGCAATCTGAGGGTTCTAAGTTCGAAATCTACTCTCCAAGACTGTCAAGGCTCAATTTCAACATTGCTGTTCTTTAGGTATGTTTTTTAGATAATTGCTATGCTCGTATTCTACCATCAGGATGGTTAAAATCATACTTGATTTAGACAACAAGCCCAGACAGCTTTTAAAGCAATGTATATTCCACAGGGGGAGCTTTTATTTTTAACAGATCAAGCAACCCAAGGCGTACATCTTTGTTTGTTCTTAATCATTATAATTATAACAGGCAGTTATGCTTGGGACCAGTCACAAAAAGGAATCCAGGCAACTGGGGAAAAAGATTTTACCTTGAGCATCTGCAGACCATCTTGCTTGCTCTTGTCTTCTGCTTCCGCAATAAGACGGCTTAGTGCAGCACCTTGCTCCTCCAGGTGAGAGATGTTGCTACTCTGGCTTGCTACTACTATCTCATAGCGATCTTCCAACTGGTGAAGCAGCATGGCTTGCTCTCCAACCAGGAATTGATGCAGCCGCTCAAAGTCCGACTCAAACTCTTTCATGTCAAGTTTCATCTTGTTCTGGGGCAGATGAAGAAACAAGAAGGCAACACTGAGAGGGTACACAGCCAAGATTTGGGGTTATGTCACTTTATGGCATAGGACATGAAATCTATGTCAGCTGATTTAGCAGGCAGCAGGATCAGACAATCCTGCCTGGTTTATAAACAGCGATCATAGCAATCTGTACAACTGGAAGATGCCATATCTGTGCTTGTCTAGGATGGAAAGACAGAAAACCTTTTCCCACTTCCAAACTCATGCTTGAGGCAAAATCACAAGGAATACATTGAATTTATTGAATTTACTAAAATCCTTTCTCTGAGACAACATAAATGTTGTATGAATGTTTTAAAATTAAAAAAATGTTTTAAAAACATAAAACAATTCCAATCGTTATACAGTTTACAAGGAAAAAAATAAAAATGACTTCCTGCAAAGAAAGAGAGCTCTGCTGATTTCAACTATTTCAACTATTTTCTTAGGCAGAACCTGAAATTCTACTTAACATCACCTCTGTTTAGATCATGAGAAACTAGAAGACGAGACCAATTTTAATACCGATAGACCCATATACCCTCAGACTGAGTCTCGGTGGCGCAGTGGTTAGAGTGCAGTACTGCAAGCTACTTCTGCTGCAGCCAGCTGCCTACAATTTGGCAGATCAAATCTCACCAGGCTCAAGGTTGACTCAAACTTCCATCCTTCTGAGGTGGATAAAATGAGGTCCTAAATTGTTGAGGGCAATATGCTGACTCTGTAAACCGCTTAGAGAGGGCTGTAAAGCACTATAAGCGGTATATAAGTGCTATTGCTATTGCTAATATCAGTAGATCCTCTGAGATATATTTAGAAGAATAGGATTGCACAATTCTCATGACTGCCAGATAAAGCCATCTATATACCTTATAGTTAAAACCAGGCCTCTAAAATTCAGATCAAATCCTAGGCATGTCAGTTAAGAATCTGGGATTTCTACTTCTCTAAATCCTTGACTTCAGGATAATCCCAAAGGAATCATTTTCTTAATGCAAAGACGACCATCCGCTCTTAAGACCAAGACATTTCCTCTTCACCAAGATTATTAATAAAAACATACACTAAGAATAAGGTAATCCTTCAAACAAGAGACTGACGGGAAATATAAGAGAATTAAGGGAATATTGAAGTTACCCTGATGTCTGTTATCTTCTCCTCTTCATTTGACTTCTGCTTCAGAACTGACTCCAGTTTCCTTTTCAATGGATCCAAGTGACCCTGGAGTTTAGCCTAAAAACAACCAGAAAAATAATGCCACAACTTAATTGTATTTATGTTTTACATTCATAAAAACAGCAGCTGGCATAAACTTTTTTGAAGTTCAGATCCAATGTTCAGAGAAATAAGGATTGAATCTTCATGTCCTGGTAACATAGTTACCACACTGTATTTGGATACCTCTGGTGCAAACAGATTTCCTGTTTTTACAATACAGCTTCTACAAAATCCCATCTCTCTCTTGAATGACCTAAATTTGTAGCTTCTATAGTTAAAGGGGAAAATGAAGTATATACTGCTTTTGACAGAAGCAATAACAATTACATGGCAATAACTAAGAGAATTTTTACTGAGTATCTTTTACTGATCTATTTATATTTATATATTTGCATAAGCACATCACCCAGGGGTTTTTCTGTAGGCAAAGCAGGGACTCTATACTAGTATGCCACTAATGTTTGTCAAAGCCTCGCAAAATTTATAGTACTATAAACACTTTTATAACACAGAAGATTAACAAGATTACATACTAGCATTTACATCATCTGGTTATATTCCAAACCTTATATTCTTGCACAACTTCCTCCAGTGGCATAACACTGTGGTGTTTATGGGTTCGTGACTCTCTGCACACTACACAGATGGGCTCTTCATCTGCCTCACAAAAGAGCTTAAGTGGCTCCTGGTGTTTCTCACACAGGGCTCTTGGAGCATGACTTGCAGCTAAAGTAGATGGCACCCCTGACGAATCCCCTGCTGCTGCCATCTCCACCACGTGAGCTGACGAAATGACAGGCTTCAGTGGTTGTGGATGCATCTGTCGGATGATCTGCACCATATTGGCCAGCTGAAGATTGGGTCGGAAATTGCGATGAGGAAAAGTTTTGCGGCACTGAGGGCAAGTGAAAGGCTGCCGCTGCGGAGTAGGCGGAGTTGCCGGCACTGTATATTCTGCCATCTCTTCTGGCTCTTCATCCATTACTTCCTCGTCCTCATCATAATTATCAAAAAACAAATCACTCCCCATACTAGCATTCCATATGTCCTGGTCCCAGTACTCTCTGTCATCATCGTCCCAGCCATCTTCATCTTCATCATCGTACTCGTCCCTGGATACATCATCCTCTTCTTCCTCGTCGCCCATATCTCCGTCGTCTAAATAATCATTGTCCTCCAGATCGTTGTCGTCGTAATCCCCGTCTTCCTCAGGCCCCAGGTCATCGATCCCCCCATCATCCTCATAATCAGCCCCTTCTGAGCCAGAGGCTCCTGGGTCGTCATCTTCTTCGTCACGAGAACCCCAAAGCTGAGTGATGCACACGCGGCAAAAGTTGTGGCCGCATCCAATGGACACCGGGTCTACGAAGTAATCCAGGCAGATGGCACAGACGGCTTCCTCGTGGAGGGTCGCCACAGGGTTCAGCGGGCCCCCGGAGCCCCCCGCAGCTACTGCGGCTGCCATGAGACCGCTACGCCGCGGCGGACTAGGCGCGCCGACAGGCCGAGTGCTTTCCTCGGCCCTACCAGGACTTCCAGACCCTTCCCTGCTTGCCCGCCGCCGGGAAGTTCCCTCCCCAAAGATACCCGGGAGGAGAAGGCGGCGCACCCGCCCGCTTCTCTTCGGCCCCCGCAGCCCGCTCGGCCAACTCCGGAATCGGCCGGTACTGCGAGGCCTCCTCCCTGCTCCTCCAAGAGCTCGCGCCCTCCTCCTCCTTCTCTTCCTCTTCCTCCTCCTCCTCGCTCGCTCGCCCTCAAGAGTCACAACGGCCGGAGCCAGGCTGACAGACAGTCCCCCACCCCTCGACCAACCGAACTCTACCAAACTACCACTCTCCCCCTCCCCCGCTCGCTCACACCGGAACTGAAAGGGAAAGCCCGAGAGGCGTTCTAGACCGCCTCTGGCTCCTCTCTCTATGGTACGGTGACGCTTCGTCGGGGTCCCTAACGAACGCGCCGGACTGCGTTTCGCGTGCGAGATCTGCCTGCCGCCTCCGTTGAGTTTCCGCGGCCCGCAGCTGGGCGGAAGGCCAAGGACGCGCGCTTTAAACGAGCCCAATGGAAGCCCAAAACGATTTTGACATCCCCGACGTTTCCATGTCGGACGTCGCTATGGTCACACGCCGGAAGATCCGGCTTTAAAAAAAGGTTTCCGACAAATGCACCGGAAATCTGGGTGCGCTCTGTGTTATTATTTTCGTCTCTATGATTGCGGAGGGTTCCCCTTTCGAGAGAGAGGAAGTAGCGCGTGAAGAAAGGGAGCCTGTTACTTTCGAACCCCCTAAAATGTTCTTGCAGTTGCTCGTAGTTATTACGCTTTTGCTCCGTTCCTTCTTCTTCTTCTTCGTCCTCCTCCTCCTCCTTTTTCTTCGTCTCCGCCTTTTTCTTCGGCCTCCTCCCCCTCTTTTTCTTCCTCCTTCCAGTTTTAAATTTCCGAATAAAGATTTATCTTTGGGTTCCAGATTTATGTTTGACTTTTAAAGACAACTTCTTGTATAAACATTGTTTTATCTAAATACTTGGTTTTCCCTAATCCTAGAACAACTCATTTAGCGAATAAGAGGTAATTACAATACATCTCCTTAAAGTTGTAGCATGTGACAACAAAGCAAAAATGGAAGGTGAGGAAGAAAACAAGGAAGAGGAATTTAGGTGGCAAAATCTTTCTCTTTTTAACATTTCATCTCCCTTTTTTGAACAAGACACACATATCAAGGCAGATGGATTATGTGCTATGAAATTAATGTTGACTCTTAACAACAAATAGTTCATATGGAGGCAGATCTGACCATTATTATGAATAAAAATGGAAATAAAGCATATTATATTTTAGTAATATGTACAACAACCTTGGCATGATGCCTTTCAATGTTTCAAGTTGAAGGAACAAAATTGTCTCACTCAAGTTACAAATTACATAGTATTAATATATCTGAATATTGTTCCAAGGGGTATTAAGAACATAATACCATTCTACACAAATAAATATAGATGGCAAAACCATGATATATAGGACTTACGACCACAATTGACCCCAACATTTCTATTGCTGATATATTTGTTAAGTGAGGTTTGCCCCATTTTATGACATTTCTTGCCACCATTGTTAAGTGAATCATTGCAGTTGTTAAGTTAGTAACATGGTTGTTAAATGAATCTGGGTTCCACATTGAGTTTGTTTGTGACAAGGTCACAAAAGGGGAATCACATGACCCTGGGATATTGCAACCGTTGTTAATATGAACCAGTTGTCAAGCATCTGAATTTTGATCATGTGACGGGATGCTGCAACAGTTCTAAGTATGAAAAACAGTCATGTCATTTTTTTCAGTTCTGGTGTCATTTTGAATGATCACTAAACAAATTGTCAAGGACTATTTGTGCATTTGCATGTTTAACATATTTTTTGCAGTTTCAGGAGGGAAAATGGCATTTTAATTTTATTAATTAATTATTCCCTCTTATGTATCTTAAGCCCAGGGGATATAAGTCCCATATAAATAGACACACAGTCAATTTATGAAAAGGCTCTTTATAAATCACTGTTCTAATACTGCCTATTTTAACCTATTTTACACATGCATTTTAGACTTGAATATTACAATATTAATTATTGTACTGCATTTATTGTATTGGAAATACATCAGTGCCCAATTAAGTCTGTAAATAGAGTAAAAAAATAAAATGGAACTGAGCACTCTGATCCTACAGAAATAGGCATGCTGCCAGAGAAAAACAATAGCTTGTTTAGATACGATGGAATAAAACAGACTGCTGTTTTTCGACCCTCTATCTGCATGAAACTATTGACTGCAGTTCTGGGAGCCCAGTCTAGATGAGGTGCAGCAGCTTTGCTAGCTTCGGTAAGAACCCCCTATATTTGATACAGTACTTGTGGATACCTGCAGATTTTATTGGAGACTTAATAAAGATGATCATAGCCTCCGTATTCCATCTCGGCTGCTACTTCCCAGAATTGATTTGCAGGATATTTTTAAAAATATCTATCGATTTGCTCTGGGAATTGACTACAATTACAAGAAAATACAAAACATTTTGCAAACGTCTTAGTTCCAGCACTAAAGTGTTGTAGGTTATAGAGGAAGGGCAGGAAGCAGCGAGTTTCTGTAGTGTAGTGGTTATCACGTTCGCCTCACACGCGAAAGGTCCCCGGTTCGAAACCGGGCAGAAACAGCTGTCTTCTTTTTACATAATCTTAAAAAAACAATACATTACTTCGGATGTCTATACAATAGTGGAAACTTTTCTTTTCCATAATGTATACAATGAAGAATGGCAATTCAGAGCAAAGTGCTCCAATAGTTTTACGCTGCATCCTAAACTTAAAAGCAATTTTCCAAACAAGGCAATATTGGTTAAGATTCATATCATCTATCGAGACAGTAATATTATGGTAGTAGTACAGTAATAAATATAGTATAGTACAATATAGTAGAACGAACACCGAAACATAGAGTGAATACATTTTAGTTTAGCTAAAACTTTGGAAAGGTTACTTTTCAACAGCCCGGCTAGCTCAGTCGGTAGAGCATGAGACTCTTAATCTCAGGGTCGTGGGTTCGAGCCCCACGTTGGGCGCAACATTTTTTTTTCTTTTTGTTCTTCATTTTATCTTTTAGAAGCAAAATACTATAAATGAACACTGTAGTTCTTTATTTTTCCAAAGGGCTAGGTAGTTCGATAATTTGCACCTCAAGCAACAACGGTGAGAGTAAAGGAGACGAGGAGATCATTATGTTTTCTTTATCATATTTTGTTTTTCTTCACTTTTCCATTCTGCCCTGAGCACAACTCATTATAATATGCTTAGGGCAGGTATTTAATCTTGTTTCACCGTTTTCCAACAGTTTATTTTAATCCTTGTGCAAGCCTCAGCTCTGGAAGATAGTTCCAAATGCTCCAAACATGTGCACATGGGACAAGAACAGATCATGCAACATTACTTTCTGCTTTTCAGCCTCAGATAGGCAACAATCTTATTATAAACAGCTCACATCAAGTTGAGATACAGAGCTCTAGAGTAATCTTCCTTAAAACTGGATCCTACAGGTTTTGGATCTATTCCATTTTGCTAACCAAATAAATAACTTTATCGAGGTATGGTTGTTGAATTTTCCTTGGATGTCATGTTCAAAAGATGATGAAAATAATTACTAGAAGACATTTAGCATAAACATTCACAGCAGAGGAACTTTGAAAGGAAAAGATATTTAAGATTGTGTCTTATTTCTTTTTATGCTTTGTCCTATTTTTGAAAGTGAATTTTTAGGCCTCATAATACTAGAGCTCAGTGGTGAAACTTTTTTCTTTCACAAGATTCCCTTCAGAGGCTGGAAAACCATGCACCCCTACACAAGTTCACACAGCCCATTGCAATAAATTTATATATACACTGTAAGTACACCACATTGACACACACCTACACACACACCTACTTTGGACACACATTATGCGAAGACCCAGATTTTGGGAGAGGGTTCCGATGCTGGAAAAGGTGGAAAGAAAGAGGAGAAGATGACCAGCAACAAGGCAGATAAACATGATAATAAGTGCACCAGATTAGATTTAGATTTTTATGGAGAAAATCTATCTACCGGTATGTGGTTGCTAGGAGTCAAAAACAACAGAATGGCACACAATGTGTGGATGGGTGGGTGTGGGAGAGAGAGAGAGAGACAGAGAGACAGAGACAGAGACAGAGAGACAGAAAGAAATGGAGAGAGAAATGGAGGGAAGGGGAGAGAGCTAATCACAATGTTTTATTAATTTTTTCACAGAAAATGTTACTGTTCTGTACTAAGGAATATTTAAAGGTTATGTAACAAACAAATAAGGCAGTGTTTAAAAGAAAATGCCAGATATGTTTTTAACTTTGTTCTTATTTATGCTTTTCTAGACTGACATGTTTTTATTGTAAGCTGCCCAAAGTGACTCGGGTGACAAGGGCCATAGAGAAATGTGATGAATTTCATACTTTATATACTGTGGAACATTGTTTATAAGACTCCACTTTTGATACACACTGAATATACATAAAATATACCTAAAGAAAAAAATTAACATTATTATTAAATATGCTTTTATTTCAATATTCTTTCCCCGCACTGTCTTTTATTTATTTTTAAAGTTATTGGCATTCCTCGTTTAAAAAAGGCAAACTGTTGTATGCTGAAGCTGAAAAGTTTAGAAATTTTCCAAATGACTGCAAGGAAGGTTCTCTTAAGTTATAAGGCGGCTTTTGGGGGTGGGGGGACGGAGGGGAGGGAAGATCTGACGAGCCAGTCTTGCAGCGTTTGGGGGAGCGGCTTGCTGAGATGGGGGCTCGGATTTTTGTCCCCAAGTTCCCATCACCATCCTCCTCCTCCCCTCAATAGGATGTCTAATATTAGGATACCCCATCCCCGCAAAGCGCGATGCCGTAGTGGGTGCCAAGCGGCCAACGCAGAACTACACTACCCAGAGGGCATCCCGTTTCTTCGCTCTCCAGACTACATTTTCCACCATGCTTCTCGGGGCAACACAAAAGGCCGCAAGAATTTGGACGGAAAGTGAGATGGGCATCGGCGTTCCGGCGCTGCGGCTTAGAGCCGCCTCGGGATTGAAAGTCCGCTAAAACGGGGAGCCTCGCTTGGGCATGGAGCCCGGTAAGTTCCTGCGATGAGCTAGAGGAAGGAAGGGGCCTGGACAACTTTCCGGGTGCCTTCCGAGGAAATGGGGTGCCCAGAAAGAGGCGATTATAGAGCATTGCGCTGGCCGTTGCCTTATTGATTGGGGTGGCTTCTAGGCTGTGTGGACGAATGCAGAAAAGATTTAAAACCTGGGGAAAGAGTGTGAGACCTACCGGAGAGAACCTTTTCTTTGTACTGTACCTTTTCATTGCTCACTTTTCCATTTCAGACCAAATAGAATCGGAGTTAGAAAAGCGTTTCCCATGAATTTTGGTCCTTTAATTTTTAATTTGGATGAAGTCATCCTTTATTAAATTTCTGTGGCCGTTTATCTCACATATCTGACTTTCAGCGTCATACAATAAAACAATCAGATAAATAATATAATGGTTTAAAAAATTAAAACAGTTAAAACACAGGTATAAATAAGACTCTAGGATTTTGGACCTACAGCTGTACACATATTGTGTAGTCCTTGGGAGTTCCCTACTTCCCTGGGATCCCAAGCCTGTTGAAAGAACCATTTAAAATATTTCTTAAATGTCAAGCCACCATAATGGTTCCAACAGTGAGCTGCCAAAAGTGACCTGTGAATCAGTGAAATCCCCATAGGAAGCAGGTTGGGCAATCAATCCCGTATTTTTATACGTTTGGATGGGGATTGAATTTGGAGATGAGAGTGATTTGAATCCATTTTCATCAATATTGCAATGTTTTCACTCCAGAAATGTTATTGTTGCAATGTGCCATTTTCTCACTACTTTTCAATATCATAGACCATTTTCAAAGTTGTTTGGGGACCTAAAATGTAGAAACAAGTATGTTTTGTCATAGATTTTCCAATGTTTTTCTGGAGTTTTTCTGCCAAAATTCATCCCACTTGAGAGTCAGTAATTTTGCCACTGAATTTTGGCAACATGAACAATTATTGGTGTATAGAACAGTGGGCTGGCTATCTCCACCATAAACTAAAGAACCACAGAAATTCATACTACATGCTTAAAACAAATACATTACATGATATGTGAACCCAATCAAATATTTCTTCTAAACCAAGAGACTTTTTTAAAAAAAAAGTCATACAGTAGTTTCTCACGGATAACTTTGAATTATAATTGTATTAAATTCCTGCATTGCAATAAACTTGTGTATTTGGTTGTTTTGTTTAACACATTGGGAGTATGTAGTAAGGTATAAGGTTCTTTCTGTTATCTAACACAATAAGAACAAGTAGGCTTAGTAATAACCAAATAAATCAATAATAGATGCGTAGGCAGAGCCAATCACATACACATACACAAGGTGTGATTAAGATGCTAGACTAAAAGTAGGGGGGAAAGATAAAAGGTTTTCCTTGCCCAGTCATGTCCGACTCTATGGAGCAGTACTCATCTTTTTCTGTTTCAAGGGATCCTACATTGTCCAAAGACACTTCCATGGTTATGTGGCTGGCATAATTATATACCAAGGTGCATGGAACTCTGTTACCTTCCCACCGAAGTGGTACCTATTTATCTACTGGCTTTTACATGTTTTCAAACTGCTAGGTGGGCAGGAACTGGGGAAAGTAATGGGAGCTCAACCAATTGCACGGTGCTCAGGTCTCAAACTTCCAGTTGACAAGCCCAACTTTTTAACCTCTAGGCCGATACACCACCACCCCGCCCTCCCAAGAATAGGGAAATCCAGATTCTAAGCATCTCTCAAATATAGAAACCTTTTGGGTGAGTATAGGCCAGTCACTCTCAGTTCTAAACAGCATCAGGCTCTGCAACACAGTAGCTAAAGAACAAACCCTTTTCTCATCATGCATTAATGGCTTTGCCATGTGAATTAGGCAAGCAGACCCTGAAATCAAGTAAGACAAGTACTAAAAAAAAAAAAAGAACAATATAAACACGTACTCTTTTTACCATAGCTATGTCTTTTAGTCTGTGTGATATACTGCATGGCCAGCTCTTTCCCTTCCATCCTGTCTAAGAGTTTGTATGAATCACAGCCTTCCTCCAGAGCGGAATTTAGTACATGTTCAGTAAATGGCTTTAATTTCCCCTTTAAACGCACAGAACCAGCAGTTCAACAGTTGTCTCAACCTTGCAGTTTGGTACTAAGAGAACTAGAATGCTGGAGCTAGACTTTGTAACTGCCTTCAGGGTGGTGATATTTCTTTTGACATTTAAGATTTTAATAGATATAAGACTTATCTCCATCAGGAATAAGCCATACAAAGCCTTGAGTGCAGGGAGAGATTTAAGTTCTCCTCTTTTTATTGCCTCCCTATTTATTCCTCTGTGGTCCAAATCCCAGATTCCTTTTGGCCTCACGGTGGAGAATAAATGACCAACGGGCAGCTTCTTTTTCCTTTTAGCAGGTGAAAACTGGATCAAGAGAGAAGGTAATGAAGGAACTCTCCAGCCCCCGAGGGATGCCCTACTGGTTGAGGTGGAACAGCCAACAAAAAAATTATCTGAGGAAAGTGAAGGTTTCCTGCAGTCTAAACCATTGAAAACTCTGAAGAGGGATCTGGACATGCATCAGAATCCTTTCACAGGGGAGATTTGTTTTGACTGTGAGAACAGCCCTCGAAAGATGTACCCAAATGATCGACCATTTAAATGTGACATGTGCGAGAAAAGCTTCCGCCACAGTTCCAGCCTCTTAACCCATCGAAGGCTGCATACTGGAGAGAAACCATATAAGTGCACTGACTGTGGGAAGAGTTTCAACACCAGCTCAGCGCTGATTGTACACCGCCGGACCCACACCGGAGAGAAGTCCTACGTCTGCTCAGACTGTGGGAGGTGTTTCAGCGAAGGTTCGGTGCTCATCAAGCACTGGCGGATCCACACCGGGGAGAAGCCGTACAAATGCGCCATTTGTGGAAGGGGCTTCCGGCAGAGCTCCCAACTGCGGGCCCACGAACGGACCCACACGGGGGAAAAACCTTACGAGTGCCAGGACTGTGGGAAATGTTTCAGCACCAGCTCTAATCTCTCCGCTCATCAGCGGACCCACACGGGAGAAAAACCATACATCTGTCCTGAGTGCGATCGACGGTTTGGTCACAAGTCGCACCTCATCTCCCACCAGAAGACGCATACCGAGAAGCTGCACGCTTGCTCTGACTGCCCAGCAACCTTCCGCATGCTCCATCAGCTCCTGGTCCATCGCAAGTCCCACCAGGAAGAGAGGCGGTACAAATGCCTCCTGTGTGGGAAGACGTTCAGCTACAGCTCAGCCCTCTTGGCACACCAGAGAATGCACACAGGGGACCGGCCATTCAACTGCCTGGAGTGCGGGAGGAGTTTTGTCCGGAATTCAGACTTGAACAAACACCAGAGGATCCACACAGGGGAGAAGCCCTATGAGTGTCCGGAGTGTGGGAAGCGATTTAACCAAAGCTCCCACCTGGTTAGCCATCGGAGAGTCCACCTGAAAAGTACTGCGAAGAATCCTGGCACAGATGTCCCCGCTCCAAGGGGACGAGAAATAGAGTCTTCCTGATAAGCATTTTTGCAACATTTCTTTGTTGAAAGTCTGCATCAGGGGTCTCCAAACTTGGCAACTTTTAAGACTTGTGGACTTCAACTCCCAGAATTCCCCAGCCAGTATGGAGAGTTCTGGGAGTTGAAGTCCACAAGTCTTAAAGGTTGTCAAAGTTTGGAGACTCCTGGTCTACATTATGAAGGCTGCAGTTTTGTGCTCCTTACAGGAGAGTAAAATCTCATCCCATCCAGTGGGACCATTGATTACAGGTAATAAACTTGTAAGACTATTGTGGGTTTTTACACCACGCATGAAAACAAAAGAAAATTCTGCTCCAAGAGATTTCAAATGATTCATTAAGATTAAAGGACAATAGGTTACGTGGCCAGGATATCTTATGGAAACTAAGATATAGATTGGTTGATGTAATTGGAGCTAGAAAAGAGCAAAAATAAGCTGCAAGACCAAGATACTATTATCTGGCTATTGAGAAATATTGTTTAGCCCTTCTCTGACTTCTGTTGTCTAATGAAGCATGTTTTTCAGCTTATCATTGCAACAATGAGGATTATAAACTTGCGATATTGTTGCTGTTTAATCAATTTATATTCTTGTGCTGCTACCATGTATGGCCAGAGACATTTGTCTTCTTATGAGAGTGTAGAATGCTGGTATTGTTTAACACAACTGAGGAATAATAGTGTTTGGTTTTTTTTCCCAAAGTTGGATTTTTTCAGTGTTTTTAGATATGAAGAACCTCAGTGGTAAGAGCCACTTGTGAAGCTAAAGTTTAAAGACAACACATTTTCCTTGAAATGGAAAAGAACTTTAATTGTTTTTTGGCTACCAAAGGTATGGAAAAATAACTTGAACTGACATCCATCTATTTTTTATAGATCACATGTGAATGTAGTATGGTATCAGCTATCTGGTTTCAAAAGAAATAGAACTCTAGCTGGCTTTTAATAACAACATTCCATTTCCCACATTCCCCTTGTCTTAATAAAACTTTAAAGCTGAAGAATAGTTGTAACAAAGGAGAATTATTGTATTTTTAAAATAAATGTATGAGTGCCGTTTTTTCTTACTCCTTTATCAAATACAGTGGCTGGGTTCATTACTGCTTACTTCTATAAGATGCAGTAATTGAACTATTACAGAAGTTGATCACTTATGAATAGTTCCCATCATCCAGATGGCTGCACTACACTTTGGACAGCTTACTTAAAATTGTGGCATCTGAATTTTCATGTATGAAACGTACATATCTCAAAAGATCTCCATGGCTTAAATCATCCATTTTGCCTCTTGAACTTGTAAACCTCCACCATTGTGGAAATACAGTCCAAATGGGTTTTAAATTGTAGTTTTATTGCAAGGTCCTATTTTACTCAAAAGTTCTTGCCATGTAATCTTAAGTACTGGTTGACTTCAATCTTTTTGTTAGGGTTCCATAATTATTTTTGTTTGTGTTTTGTTTCTTAATCTTGACTTTTGCCAGCAGGTTTTCACTACAAGCACTGTATGGGCCACTTCCATGATTGCTTCATGTTCTTCATTAAAGCAGATCTCTAAAATAATGAGTATATGCTGCAATAAATATGTTAGTCTTTAAACTGCAACAGATGTTTAAGCCTAGTTAAGTATCCATTGGAACCTAGTTTCAGTTAAATGGTGTTTTTCTTTACAATAGTCAGACTGGAAAGCCTTTACAATGCAATAAAATTACAATCAAATATACAAGGAAAATGCTGTTTTGAATAAATATGATTCTACCTCATGGATCAAATTATTTTTTGCAAAACCCAAACCTTACTGTGTGGCACTTATTTTGCACTTATGGTAGGTCAGCCATTCTTACTCATTGCTTGATGTATGAAGCCAGTGACAATGCCTCTGAATTTTAATTTGGTCTTCCAGGACAGGAGTCACCAACCTTTTGGACCTCAGGAGCCACTAAATTCATAATTTTAAATCTGGCAGACCACTAATATGATCTGCCTAATGATCGGCTGGGTGGGCATGGCTAGATGGTCATGTAACTGGGTGGGCGTGGCCAACTTGATGTCACTAACATTGAAGGGTGCCTCACCGGCCTCTACTCGCCCCTCCCAGCCACTTCTTGACTGCCTGCCCGGGCTTCTTAGGGCCCCAACAGGAAGCAGTTGTTGGAGCTAAGCAGCCACCACAAGAAAGCAGGCAAAGTTCAAATTGGATCTGACCGAGGAGGAGGTTCAGCAGAAGCACCTCACTGAGGACTACGAGCATAGGTTTTCCAAGCAGAGGGAAGACCTGCGGGAGTGCAAGGCCAGGTACCGGTGCCTAGAGGCTCAGTGGGCTGAGGTGGTCAGCCACTTCCAGGCCATGATGCAGTCCCACTGGAACAAGGCCCTCCAGTTCTTCGCCACCAGCGGCACTTCCCTCCAGCCTTCGCCCAAAGCCCTGTACCAGGAGGCTGAAGCAGACCCCAAGTTGGAATTTCTGCCCCCCTATGACCCGCACAAAATGACCCCGAAGGGGGAGACTCTCTGCAGCAACACAAATATTCATTGCATGTATCCGGCCCAGGGGCTGTAGTTTGAGGACTCCTGATTTAGTGCAATATAAAAAATGCAGATAATTTTTCTGCAGACCACCAAAAGTTACTCGCAGACCACCAGTGGTCCATGGAACACCGGTTGGTGACCGCTGTTCTAGGAGACCCTCTTTAGAAAGAGATGTCACAATATATAAGCTATGCAGCACACAGTATTTCTTCCCTTCCGACTCCCTTTTGCGTTCCATGTTTTTAGA